CAAATTACATGCGTGAAGACGGTGAGGAGTCCCTCTCAAGCTGATATCGCCTATCAATCTCCTGTAAAAAATGCCAAATAAATCATCTGCAACCAACCCTCTCTTGAAGTCTGAGGTTCAGGGACCAGAAGTTAGGCAGGCAGTTCTTACAATATACACAAAATTTAAAGTTGTTTCCTAACTTAAGCATGCTATTTTGGCACACTCATAACGCGGCACTAGATCCGAAACTGAAATTACCACATTGTGAATGCAGCAAGTGGTGATGAAATTGTTGACACGAGCTTTGTCAAGGCTGTCATATTTTGTCACGCTAACTAATCTTTAAAATTTTTTACTGATCGCCTTTACCCAATATTGTAATTAAAAGCACTTAGGACGCCTTTTCTTAAAAGGTGCAGCTGATATCTTATCTCGGATATTTTTTCCTGCTTTTCTTTTAAAAAATCCCCTTTAGGTGAAACAGCTTATTTTAATTACTAAATAGGGTGATTTCTACCTGGTTGGAGAATGTTTTATTTGGTCTTGCCTTTAACGCCATAGGTAGTTACTGGTGCTATCTCATACCTAATTACATCGACCTCTATGGTCACTGTTTTGGGAATGGATGACTCCCGTAGTCTCTACGGCTTTTTTGCAAGGCCAGGTTCGGGTCCGTACGTTGTTATCGCCCTGTGTTGCGTCGCAAATTTTATAAATGCAGCGGATCGCGTATTGATGCCCATAACCATAATTTCAATGGCAGATGAATTCGATTGGGATCTGCATTTTCAAGGCTGGATACTCAGCAGCTTCTCAGTTGGTTATCTCAGTAGTCTAGTATGATTGTTTTGTTAATACTTAATTGGAGGTTGCTGGGGGCAGTGCGGCTAAAAACTTTGGCGGAAGAAGGGTTCTTACGCTGGCCGTATTACTGTGGTCATTGTCGTCTTTCCTGACTCCGTTTTTCGCCGCCTCCTGGCCGCTAATGATATTTTTTCGTTTCCTTCTTGGCGTTGGTGAAGGAATAGGTGTGTTCATGTTTTTCTAACTTAGGCCATTAAATTCTTACTTTTGGTGGTGTCTTTTAGGATTACCAACTATGTTTCACATCTTTTCCCATACTGTTCCTGTGGAGGAACGTGGCAGAGCCTTCAGTTATCTGATAGCTCTAGGATCTGTGGGTCAGTTTGTTGCTGGGATAATATCCCCCCACATGACTTGGCCTCTTCCCTTTCTTCTCTTTGGTGGATTCGGCTTGCTGTGGGTTGTCGCGTGGGTCTTATTTACCAAGTCATTTGGTGATTTCGAGCATTTAGGCCCATCTGATTACCTTGTTTCGACACCACCGGTAAGGCATTTATTCGTCTCTCTAACTCATCCCTCTCTTAGCTCGATCACTTTCGCTCTGTAAGATAATTATTCTTCGCATTTCTTTCCAAACCGAAATCGAATCAATGCGTTTGTGATCATTTTTCCTTTTTTTGAGCATTCGTAATTCTCTGGATAACCTCAATTTCACCCGTAAGTTTTATTTGATTAGTTAAATAGTTCGATGCGATGGCGCGACTTCTTCTGCCATCGGTCGCTATGGGCCATTTACGCGGCGCATTTCAGCATGA